TCTACTCCCCAATAGTTACGAGTTAGCTACTATTACGAGATCCAGGTATAATAATTATTATATAAAGCAAATTCAAAGTAGACAAAGCGTACTTTGTGTGCATTAAATTCCATTGTTTTCAGCGGACATGACCATTATGCATATTAGTTATGTCACCACAAATAAACAAATGTAAACGGTAGCCACTAATTTAAGTAATGTCAAGTGAGTAACATAGCCCTAATCTTAGTAAAGATTTTATTACTTTATCAAATTATTTCTCCATTATTATTTTTATAACTTATATTCAATTTTATATATAAGTTTATTTTGTGAAGGACTTCTAGATTTAGTTGAAACAATTGACGGATATAACAATAATCGGAAATTACAGCAAGTTCATTAATTTATTAATTTATCAATTATATATTTATATTTTAAGCTCGCCACGATGGGCTAATTGATTTGACTTTATTGTTCCCATATTTTTCTCTGCTAGTGTTTCGCCATTATATGCCATTAGCATAAGTCGGCTTATATATGGTCTAGGCCTAGGCATATAATAAAAATATGTATATATGATTACCATATTTTAAAGAACATAACATAGTATTATATCATATTCAAATAATTCAATATATTGTAATTTATTTCACATAATTATTTTCATAACATTGACATAGGTAAATTGAAATTAGATTCCATGTCTTGCCAATCATGTGTCCATTAAACTAACGATATCATTAACAGATACGAATATACGTTTTGTTTAGCGAGAAAAAAAAAACGAGAAATTGAAAGACATAGTTAAACTAATTATATTTTATAACTTACTATTTTTTATCCTTGGCTTAATTCGTATTGCTGAGATACGTTTATTAACCAGAGTAAAAAAGTAACATTTGTCCTTCACTATCTTAAATATATTTAAATTATCATGACAATTAGTTGATGCACCAAAAAGTGACAAACAAACTCACTTTCATATTTATAATATTACTTAAGTATTTAAGGACGACTTAGTAGTCTTCAAGTACTAACTTCACTTACAAGTAAATAAGACTCTATAGAATTTTTTTTCTGTTTATTAACGGAGTAGGAATAAAATATGTCATTTCTCCTTTTCATTTCTTGAATACTGTACAAGGCGACCAAGGGAACAAAACATAATAATACCAGTTCAAGATGAGGAAAACTCGATGCGTGGTAATAGTGGGCTATAAACTCTTATGGGAAGAGACCTGTGCCCAGTAACAGGATATTAATGGGTTGATATTGTTATAGTATGGATCCCATGGTAAGTCGTGTTATGTGTAATACTAGCTATTACCTGCGCCTTTGCATGCGTGGTGTAGTGCTTTCCTTTTAAGTTGAAATTTAAAAGGGAAGTATTAATAAACCTATGTTCCAAATTTCATTATTATATTATATTTCTAGAATTTTATAGTATTATTTGTGTGTTGATAGTAAGTTAGAGAAACTGTTACTTATATATATATATATATATATATATATATATATATATATATATATATATATATATATATATATATATATATATATATATATATATATATATATATATATATATATATATATATATATATATATATATATATATATATATATATATATATATATATATATATATATATAGACTTAAAAATGACTCAGTTAAAGTGAAACAAACCTGTTAACTATTATCACACACATAAAAATAAAAGTAAACAAAAGAAGCAAGCGACCTGTAATCTCCAGTTGTGCAGTGTCACTTCAATTATTTATTGCAGTGGTCAAGTAACGGACATCTCAAACAAATCAAATAGCGAATGTCGTGCACCTGGTACTAGTTTGCCAATAACTTGCATGGTATCGTCAGCATCAAAAGTCAATATACAATACCTACAAATTTTACTAAATTCGTAATTATCTTTATGTACATAAGGTGCTTAACAACATTAACGTCAGAATCGTATGAACATCGTATAAGATCCAAATTAGTTATATAATAGTCTAAATATCCTATGGAGTACAATATAGGGGTTTTGGGAATCTTAATGTGGTCAATAACTTGCTTGCTGGCCGTACATATACGTCCTCGAACCAAAACTTCACTAAGATCAATAACATATAAATTTATGGTGTCATCTTTTGACAGCAAAGTGGGGGAAAGTGTCAAAGTAGGATACTAGAGACGCGTCAACGACTTTTTGTGTGGATCCTATTATTCGGAACGTATACGTACGGACAGTTTGATGGTTAATAAAATAACATTGGTTTGGAGATCTGTGTGGTTTCAATTCTACTCTAGATTTCGTTTCGTATCAAATCCTGACTTTTTCCCGTTCTCGATTACAAAATGTAAATAGCACGCGTCCGCTATTTTAAAGGGGAATTTGAGATTTAAAAGGACTGTGTACAGTTTTCCGACCTCGACGTACCTACTGCTAAACTATTAACGCCAATGTAAAGCGTGTAGTTTTAAAGCTTGCAAAAACCAGTTTAGATAAAAAGTTTAGATTCAATTTTAATATTTATATTTACAACTTGTTGTAACATGTCGTGGTTTTGGCCTCACGAATCAGGTAAAAATACACACACACACACAAACACATACACATGCACACACACGCACGCACGCGCACACACACACACACACACACACACACACACACACACACACACGCACCACATACACACACACACACACACACATAAAAGTGCGCGCGCATACACGCGCACACGCAAAACATACATACGGGCACACGTACACACGCACACATGCGCACTTGCACACACGCACACGCAAACACACGTATACATGCACGTACGTAAACATGCACGTTTGTTATTCGATATGTCGATGTTACAAAATTATATTAAAAGACAGACAACAAATTAACGTCCCGTTAGAAATATAAACATAGTAATCATTACGCAAATGATATATTAATATACGTTTAGCAAGACCTGAATGATAACATTTGCTCTTTTCACACGAGTTCTGAATATAGTTGCATATATTGCAGCAATTATACAGCCAATGAATAACCGAGCGACGGCGGCGGTTTCGTTATGAAAGAACCCTTTGGTAGTGTAAATTATTGATCGAAAAATGTAAAATTAACCTATCCCAAGTTTTGTAGATGTTTAATATTAAACTTTTAAATTAGTAGGAATATCTTCTAATAATATAATATATATAGGTGAAATGTAAATCACCATTAGTGAAAGAAAACATCTTTGCCCAAAAAGTGTTATGTGATTAAAAATGTTTTTTCAAAAGAAAAGAAAATATCCTAATAAAAAAAGGAAGAAATCGTAACTATTACGGTTACGATTTCATCTTATATGTGTATAAATAGATATGCATAAATATTTTAGAATTAGATGTTGTATAGATCTAGCCGCTTGTGTAGGAAAACATGGCATTTAGCCTTATTTATTTTAACCCAGATAACCTTTCATAAATAAACGAAAGTACTTGACATTTAAGACAATAATATTTTTTACGATACTTTCACAAGAGCTAGAAGTAGTTACGATCTAAATCCTCTTCCGCGAAACCTTTCCCTTCGACTGCGTATAAATCTCTTCTCTTTCAGATAGGAGGTCAAAGTACTAACTTTTTGTTATTTGACACATATGAAATTTCGGTATTATGTGGCTATGTGAAATAGGTGACGTCGTAGGGCGCAAAGTGTGATATATGGGGAATATATTACTTTCACATTTGGCCGGATGTTTATCACCAAGTTCAAAAGCCTATCTCGTACAAATCTATTATAGTATTGTTTGCTCGAGATGCGACGAAAATATTTTAGTTTGATAATGTACGCCACTCAGTTGTATTGGTTTCTATTTTGCATGACTTCACACGAAGCGTCGGAGAGGAGGAATAATATTATGATAGAATTCCGTATACATGTATATCTTTTATACCAATAGATTTAGATAATACTAATAGCTATGCTTGTGACGTCATTTGTTGTTCATAAGTTGAATTTACTCTTGGGAACGGGAGGAAAAAATAATGCTACGCTTTTAATAAACAATTCTGATAAAATATATTTTGGTCGGCTATACCATTTAGTACCATCTAGTTATAAATATACATACATACATAAATGAGTTTTTTGTAAATATAAAATTTAGAGACTTGATTATTAATACACATTTTTGTAATGTGCGAGAATAAAGCTAGTAGAGTAGCTTTTATAAACTATAAGTGAGACAATATTAGATAGCTATATACCAAAGATTATCATCCCATCATTTATCTAGTTTTTGTTAATCTAGCCAAGATAATTTTTGTGTTAAGATAAAGCAAGAAGAACTTATACAAATTTGAAAATGAACATTAATACCTGCTACGAAAATAAATTTAATCACTACCACAATGGAATCTGTTATATAGATGCAAATTTTGTTACCATAATTATAACTGCGTCATCAACGCTTATTTTATTAAAATCGTTTATATCCAATTTAAGATAAAAATTCTATCGTTACCTATATTATTTAATTTCTGGATCCACGATTAAATTCTTATCTGTCATAAAAAATTCAATATGCAAAGCGGAAGAGTGACATGGGTTTGACGTTCAATTTTGTAATCCGAAATGAAAAATTGACGTCTTCAGATTGCTCTTTCTGACCAATGTCGCTTTCAATTTGATGATCAAAATGAAAATTATTAATATGGCAATTCAATTTATTTACATATTTATAATATACTTTTTTTACTTTTTGACTTAATATCACGAGACGTAAAAATCAAATACTAAATTAGGCGTGTCTGGATCTGACTTACTAAATGTAAAATAAAATTGTAAGATATTAACAATAAGGATCCTTTCATTTGCAACTTTTCACTTAACGATTTCATCTTTAACAAACTCGATCTCATTTTATCAATTGTCAAAGTTTAAAAACTTAATCCACTTAAGGACCCTTAAGGGTGAGTTTGTAGTGCGCATGACGTTACCCTAGCGGGAAAAACCAAGGACATTCGGCGGACGGACCTTACGCGGGTAGCACGCTCCGCCCGGGCGCGTCATTCAAATATGGAACACGATACAAACGCGTGAGGTGTTGTAAACAACGGACGTCTAAATTCGAAATTTAATTTTTTTCTTAAAAAAATTGTGTTGTAATTTTTTTTAAAACATGTTAAATAATGTTTCAAATGTTACCAAGAGTGGACGCTACCTGTACTGTGGAGCATAACGCTTATAATGTGACTACAGTTCCTGTTCTGTTCGTAATAACTGCGGTGCATGTGAAGTCGAACAAAATATTATGTAATTTACTATACGCAACTACAAAAGCTTAAAAATGAAGTTTATATCGATTATCACATTGTGTGGTAAGTAGTTTTAATTAATTATTTGTATAACTAAAGTACCTGTACAATTAAAAATTTTACTTCACTTGACACATGTATATACATGTATATTCAAACTGAACGACATGAAACAGATTAAAAAAAGAGTCAGTTAAGTTCATTTTTTTTGGTGTTTTTTATGTATATCGTTCTGAATAATAATGTTTCACGAATTCTTTAAAATTTTCGTAACTTATTGTATTTGAATGTAATTACAAAAAGGATTCTAGATCTGTATTTTTTGCCAATTGTAAAATTATTTTAATTATTATTTTTCAATTGACAGGTTTACTCTAATATAGATTATCCCTATTAATCTGACATTATTATATAATAATTATTTTTTATTCTTTTTACAAAATATTGCGAACTTGCACATATATGATCAACTACGAAGTAAGACTTTATATAATTAAAAAAAAAAACAGTTTTAAAATTAGCAAATATATTTCGTAACTTATTCACAATAAAATTGGTCACATTGATACTCTTTTTCTTCTTCAAATTGCTTATAAATTGTAGAAATATTCAGCAGATTGTTAAACTCGTTACAAATTATTTCTACCTAATTAAACCCTAAGTGGGAGTAAACAACGTAATCCATTCATCGTGGTTGTGTGGATATCCTCCGTACGGGCCCTTTGGTAATAGTTTTTAATCATTAATGCATGATGCGGGTTTAACATTTTCAGATGCAACTTAGGGTTGCCTCTTCGTTATATTTTATAATTAATTTTCAAAACTAATCTTTTAAATATAATATTTTTTAATTTCATTAATCGTAATGTAAATTAAAATAGGAACTAAAGTTTTTGAAATATTTATTTTTAAAAATAAGTATTGTTCGAGTTTTTTTTTTAGTAGTTTTTATATTATTTTGATATTGGATTTGAGTAAAGTGTGGAATTTATGCACTGCTTTTAAAGATAAATTTGCTATATCTCTTGTATAATTATATAAGAAAAATAGCAAATTTATCTTTAGCCATTTTATCTTTTACACTGGAATACGGAAATATAAAGAAGGAACAAAAATCAATAATTAGAACTAAAACATAAATAATTATAAACTTAAAGAAAAAGGCAATACAAAAATAAACTTATACCTAATTAGAAATTATACAACCGTAATGGCCATCACTCAGATAAGTGTTTAGGCATTCATATATATTATAATACCTAAACGCTGATTTTCTGTGAACTAATTGTATATCAAATATACGCATTGCTATATTAGATAAGGAATAAGCAAGTTTAAGTACCATCTTACTTATTTACATAGAAAATTAAGCTTTTCTACTCTGTGGAGTCACTTAAAATTACCTAGGTATAATGATAGAATGTAGAACCTCTTAAGATCAACCAATCATTACCCTTTTATAAAAATTGGCAAGATTTGATGATAAAATGGTGAACTATTACAGTTGTTTTTAAGAATGAATAGTAAAATACATAAAATTCACGGAAAATTGTTATACTGTCCAAAATCCAGTAATACGTACCCGTAATTAAAAACATATTTTCGTATATCCTTATATTAATATTTTCATATAATAATATATCCATGTTCATGAGAATCTGTTGATCAGTTCCATGAATACTGCTGAGTTTTGAGTATTATAACCCTTTCGTGATACCTTGTTATACATATACAGGTATATATATGTACATATTACGCAGAAGGTATAATTGGAAGGTATATTTTTAACAATGATTAAATATTTATCTATATTTTTTTAATCTTGTGATTATGTTACTGAAAATTTTTATGATTCTAAAATATTTTTTATATTTCCATCGATGTCAAAATGAATTAATTGAACTCATTTATCAGTTTCGTTTAAATATTGCTGAGTTTTTGGTATTATAAACTTTTCGTGTTACTTTAGTTATACACATGTAGAGGGTATTTGTAAAATATTACAGAAAGTTATATTTCTTTTAATATGTCAAATTTTAACGGCTGCCAGATTTTATTCTTCCTTTTTATAAAAATAAATAAATAAGCCCACGAATATGAGAGTGAGCTTGTTTATCAACCGATTTCAAAAAGAAAGGTCTCAATTCAGTTATATTTTTTTTGTTTGTTACCTTATAACTCCGTAAGTTCTAAATCCATTTGGAAAATTCTTTTTTCCAAATGGATATATCTATCGATTGTTCTTTTAGAAATTTTATAAAAATCGGTTCAGTAGTCTTCTTTTGTCACAATTGAAGTCGGTTTTTTATGCGACACAATCTTTAATTATTCGATTGTTATCTATCAGCGTCTTATTTGTTTTATACATGTAATAGTAAGCAATTATTTTAAGCAATTTAACGTAATGACCAGTAAATTGTGTACTTATGTTCTATATTGAAATAATAAATCAAAGGAAAAATTTATTTTGTTAGATGAAAAAGAAAATATAATCTAATAAGTTGATGAGCTCAGTGATTTTTTTATGAATTCAAATGTTATGAATTCAACGGATAATGTGCTCGCATTTCGGAATGTCAAGGTTCACAGTCCATTGGCGACACCAGGACTAGAATGGAATCCATCTTAGTATGGATTCGATTGAAATTCCACACTAATGCCGACGATACGGCTCTAATTAAAACGTGGTTAGAATCTAAAGTACGTTTAATGAAAGCGATAGATATGCATTTATTAAGTTTATGAAATGAATTTAAACCGACTTCCAAAAGTAATTCTCAATTCGAGCGTATTTTGTCTAGAATGAACAATTATGAATTGGTTTTATTGTTTTTTTTTTTAATTTAAAATTTCATGCCACTTTCATAATAGTGTATTGAATTTTCAAAGTTGAAGATTTTTTGACAAAATAATAAGAGTGTAGTTATAATCTCTAATGAAGTACTCAGAGACATTTGTTATTTTTAGCTATTGCCGTTGTTGTGTACGTAGCATTATGCTTACATTTCGCCGAGCATATTAGAATCTAACGTAGCGATCGGCGGGCCTACCGTTGTTACTTGGTTTATTTCGAAAATTACTTATTTATAGTTGTTTTAGGTCGATCTCTGTGTGTGTAAATTATAGTACTTTAGAGGTTTATTAATCCTAAGAATGTAGAATGGAACATTATAATATTGTTTTGATGCCTTCGTTTTATGACGTATCCCAAATATATTTCATTGAGAAAAACACATTTACTGACTTTTTAACTTTAATAAATACAGCCTCCAACGCTAACAGATGCTCCTGTTTATTTTTGCCAATAATAACGTCATCTAAAAATAAATAAAATAAATAATAATTTGTTGGAATAAGACTTGTTGATCCAAATAATACCTATATAAATCTTATGGAAGTCAATTTGATTATATGCTTGAGTTACTATTTTTGAAAAAAACCTTGAATTTTACCATAAATCTATTCTATGATACGTTATCGCGATTCGTGATTCTTATGACTGAATTCTGATTAACATAACTAAAATATAATATAATATCTCAATTAATAATAAGTTAAAAAGTAAGAAGTTTTTATTAACTGATTTTATTTTGAACAATGTAACAAACCAAAATATATAAAATAATATATACATATATATATATATACAAACATTCATAACTGGAAATAAAGATACAGTCAGATAACGGATGGGTATTTATTTTCGTGGTCTCGGAAATAGAGGCTATTAATATTTGATGGGCTAGTTCTATTTGCCTCGATAGACTGATTTAATAGCAAAGAATATCGGAAACTAAAGTTACAGAAGATATTACGTCATAATGAACGTATTATGTGTGGTGCCTACACTGCGTTCAGTTTATGTGGTGTACTTATATAAGCGTATAAATTGTTTTAGGCGACTTCCAAAAGCTTCTTTCGTTATCAACATAGATTATATAGATAATGCCATATGGCATTAAGTTCGCCATTTGTATAAAATTTTATTGTGCAATAAAGAATAAATAAAATAAATAAATAAAGCGTCTTCACACAATTAAGTCACCAGAAACAGGCCAACTTTTTTATCCATGAATGCAGATAGGTTCCTTATATAGTGGACGTGAACAATAAGAAAGGAATTTTGAAAATTCAATCCCTAAGGGGGTAAAACGGGTATTAAAAGTTTATTTGGAATTTCGTCAGTTTGGAAAATAGGCACATAAAATATAGATTTAAACATGCGAGCGACGTTGTGAGCAAAAGCTAGTGCACATATACAACTAAGTAACTGAGAAAAATTATATTACAAGGTTAAGATGAATAATAAAAAAAAAATATACAAAATTCGTATGAATACATTTGAAAGAACAAAATAAATAGCACAATGATCCGTTCTTAGGCTTATCTTTACTGACTACTTTGATTTATGTTCAAATATAGACTTATAATATATTTTAATTTTAAAGTCATCGAAGATGGCCAACGTTTAAATTAATTGATGTATATTAATTTCTAATCTATTGATATTTGAACATTGTTGAGAAAGCAATCCACACATTTCGATTTATGGGCGGCGGTAGTCACTTACCATCAGGTGAGCCGCATGCTCGTTTGCCCCCTGTGTTGTAAAAAAAAAAAAAAAAAATGTAGAGTAATACTCTTTGGTTGCTGTTTGGTAATAGTAAGAAAAGGAATATGTCGCCTCTAATAAATTGTAGAATTTAAATACATTAATAAATATATAAATATGAATAATGTGTCTAAATATTACAATAAATACTCTACTAAATTACTTCAAAATAATATTAGAAGAAACAATTTAAATTTAGAAAATCAACTTGCTCTGGGAAATTTTTAATTTAATTACTTGCAACCCTGAATAATGGTTCGTTTTATTTTGATTAATAAAAAGAAAAAACGTAATATTGAAGACTAGGCAGCATGGTCTCCGACCTTAGCCTGTTCCATAACAGAACAAACGTACTAAAAAAAAAAGAAAAAACGTGTCAAATTGAGTCAATCGAAAGTCAATTTAGCCAACTTGCATGCTTTTGACACCTGATGCTCTGTCTATATAATCT